AACAAAATCTAAATCTTTCACCCAGGACATGAAACGGGTCAAAGGAAAATTTAAGATCCTCACATTTCTCGTAGTAGCCGACTTTGATGTGGCACATATTCACGGTAGTAATAGAGCCTTCCTCGAGTTACACCAAAATTTCCAAAGTTAAATTTATTGATAGTGACATCGATTCGACATAGTTGTATGAAATATATAGCATAGGAAAAGACCATTCATAAGCTTACCTAATTTAATATTATAATTTCTGAAAATCCAAAGTTGATCCGATTTTACCAACTTGTATCTAATATTTGTTTTCTTACGCATAAATTGACCTCATTGGCATGAAAATTTTGTCATACTGTCACGAGGATACCGACTCTTCATCCTCAATAATGTAGTCAAATTTCGCCCATATTCCCTAGACTCAAATTCCCAATTTGGTTCGTGCATGGCAACAAGTCCTCTCTATTTTGAAACAAAATAAGTCCCCTCTATTTTGGTTTAAGAAGGGTGTGGATTTTAAATTTTCTTTGAACCCACCCAAGTTTTGGTGAAGAATAGAATTCAAAATAAATAATAAAATAAGAAAAAGCTTTATATGTTCCCCCTACTATATAGAAGTTCTATTCTCCCCCTACCATCGAGCCGTCCATTTCTTAACAAGAGAGTCACTCACTGTTTGATCTTAGATCCGATATCTCAAAGTATTTTATTTTTTGTTTTTTTTTTAATACAAATTTTCTCAATATGAAATTTAGTACGTGCCATCTTCTCATTGGGGGGCACCTATAAAAATATTAACAATAATTTTTCAATAAAAAATAATGACCAAAATACCCCTTGAATCTTTTAGGAGTATTTTGGTCATTTTTATTGAAAATATTTTTTTTTATATTTTTCGTTAGTGCGAGTCTAATAGAGGAATGAACGTCCAAAATTTGGTTTCCAAATAGTTTATAAAAAAATATTAAAAATAAATTAGTGTAGACATGTGACATTGTGATTGGGGCAATCTTAGCCCTCCATTCAAAAATGGACGGTTGGATAAGGGGGAAGATAGAACTTCTATGTAGCAGGGAGAACATAGAAAGCTTTCCTATGAAATAAATCCTTTCTATTTTGATTTAAGAAGGATGAGAAGTTCAAATTTTTCATTAACCCACCCAAGCCTGGGTAAAGAATAGAATTCAAAATGAATACATAAAAAATAAATATAGCTTCAATAGGCGATACGATCATGAAAAGTAGACTTAGGATGGGTTAGTCATGTGCAACATAAACCTAATAATAGTATAACATTAGTTAAGAGGTATAATTTGGTTCAAGCATATGGTTCTAAAAGCACAAGGGAACAGCTCAAAAAGACATGAACGAAAGCAGTGAGAAAATATACAGTGACTTTTGATCTTGGTGATGGTATGAACCTTATTAGAGAAAAATGAAAGAACATGATTTATTTAGTTGACTCTAATTAATTGGATAAGTGTTAGATGATGATTTATACATTAACGTTCCACTTTTTTAGTGTTAATTTTATTTTATTTTCTATACATCAGAGTAAGTTCAAATTTAGGGGCTTGATACTTCTTATCTTATCAAATTTGTAAAAAAATAATAAAAAATAAATAAAATAATCAAAATACCCATCAAACTTTAAAATTTGTTGGGTACTTCACTTATTTTTATTCAAATTACTTATATTTAAAATATTTTTTCTGATTCTTTTAGTTTAAATAGAGTAGAATAAAATTAAAACACAATGTTCACCGGAATAGTGGGGCCTTAAAATATAAAATAAATAAACTTATGTCTGAATTTAAAAAATAAAAATAGTTAACTTCCCAGACCAGTAATATAAGACGAAAAAATAATAAGACGAAAATTCTTGAAAGAAATTAAAAGCGCGTAGCATTAAGTAAAAATGCAAGAACCCCCGCCGTAAGGCACTAATGACTGATGTAAAAGTTGAAAAGCGGCCCCTCTTTCTCATGAGGATGTAAAAGTTGAAAGGCGGCCCCTCTCTCTCTCTCTCTTTCTTCGCTTGAATTAAAAGGTATCGCCCGCCGCAATCCCAGGACTTCTTCATCTCGCCTCCGAAGTCTCAAGCTGAAAGTGACTCGGGTTAACAATTTTTAACTCAGGTTACATGTTAACTCGGGTTAACCACCGACGCACCGGGTCCCGTACAGAGAGGCCGCATTTATTTTTCAGCACGCAAACTGACGGACGCATTATTTATAATAAGGTGCGGTTTCTATAAGGTTGCAACTTTAATCAACCCATTTAAGGTATATTTCTAAATTTTATCATGTAATTTAGTTTGTAAATTTTTTTAGCATTAATTTAAAAATTATTTTTATATTTAATTAAAAAATTTTAAATCTTAAAAAATAATTAAAATCAACTAGATCTATAAATATAAAAAAATTTTGAAAATAGACAGTCTAGAAAATATGTTGCAAAATATATTATTTTTAAAAATTAAAAATATATATTTTTTTAATATTCAAATATCTTGATGTCCAGATGATCAATTAGATTATTTTTTCAACATTAAAATAATCTTTCCAATAGATTTTTGAGGTTCTACATTTTAAAGTTGCATCTTTATATAAACTTTTTCCCTTTAAAATATTATTAGTCAATTTATGCATTATTGCATCCACTGAATTTCATATTAGTACGGAGACACAAAGCTTAATCCGATATAATTAGTACACTATTTGACTGTTAATGGCGTGATGCGTCCATTTATTATTACAACCTTATTTTATGGAATTTAATTATTTTTTTCGGTAAGGATAATAATTTAATTATATAATTAATGGATTGATGATAAGGGAAAATGGTTGGGAAAATTTATAAAAACTTGCGTGGAAAAGAGTTTAGCGTTGAGGCAGGACCCTATAGAGTGACATTATCATTTCTTAATTAAAATTAGTGAGGAGGATTATCCTTTAAACAAGTGTTAATTATTTTTGGTGGCCACGATGACGTTATAGGCACCATATGGTTGAATATACATTTATTAGGTAAACCTTCTCTTTCGCTGTAATGACTCATGGACCATTTCAAAAAATGCTTGCTGCATGTTTTTAAGAGTTCGAAAAATTGGAATCGGGCCCGAATGAGGTCACTTCCGAGGTAGATGGGTCTATGTTTAATGAAGAAATTAAAAGTATAAGCTGAAAAATTAGGGAATTGGGGCGACTCAAGGTTCTTGAAATCGAAATTGTCGATTTGATGATTCTTATTCTACTTGAGCTGTGTTTTAAGATGGAATCTTGTTAATGTTCCCTATACTTTTTTTCACGATCTCAATCTTAAGATTAAAATATCATCGAACCAACTTGAAATCTCCCTCCCACGTCTAATCGGGATCCTACTCCCTACACTAATGGTTGAAATGAGCCGAGTTCATTGAAACTCTTCATTGCTCATCTTCCAATTCATGCTACCGTCTCTGCAAGTTCTTCAAGCTTCTTAACTTGGCTCTAGCATCAGTAAAAACATGGATTGGTGATAGGGGGAATTTATGTCTGTGCAACATTACTGCATTAGTGTGCAGTAATATTTCTCTATCATGAATTCAAATCAAATCATATTTGTATTTGAAAACATATTTGTATTTGAAAATTGAAAGGTGAACGCAGCTCAACCAGCACAAGCGATTCTTGATCACTTAAACCTTTTTCTGGACCTCTCACTTGACCTTTCCAAATCAATTGTATAGATTATACAAAGTGTCTATTCAAAGGGTTTCAACTTTCAAATTTGTAAATGTTCTATACAGTACACAACAAATAATATATGATTAAAGTCTAGACAAAAATGGAATCCACCACTCTCTGGAAGATTTGACATGGGGAGTTTAGTCATATATGCTACTGTAAACATTCAATATTCATACACTGTGTTGTGCAGTGTTTATTTAGGTAAGTAAACTAGAGGAATATTTGTCACAAGAAAATGGAAAATGGAAAAAAGCACAAAAACACCTAGAACCAGCATTTTGACAAGTTGAACATGACACCTTATTCGAATTGGAACACAAGGGGTGCATGGTTCGGATCGAAAAACCTATACCTGCTTAATTACCACCAAGTTTTATTTTTATTATTCGTCAATGCATATGCAATTTATCCCTGGTGAACTGGATCTAAACTTGCACCTCCCCATTTTAATTGGTTTTTTGATCAACCAGCCTACCGATCCGATTTTTAAAACAATGCTAAAACTAAGATATTTAGCGTACCTTTTGATTTAAAACTAGATACATCTATATAATACTATTAATCCGAAGTTAAAGAATAGACACGTATCACAAAAATAAAAAATATATGTATACGTAAAGAAAAAACATATATATATGCATAAAGAAAAAACGGGGTGCATGTCTTAAAAATAAAAATTTTTAACATAAAATAATATTTCTAATAAGATAAATCAGACTAGAACTCAGTACCTAACCTACTCTATGATTTGTATGTTTACAACATATTCTTTGAAGCAAATTTATGGGAGAGTTATGTGGATGTCATTGAAAAATTTGTAAAGGATAGAAGAAACATACTCTCCCGGCAAACGCCGGTCCCGCCTCCTAACGCGCTGCTGAGCACCAGCTTCCCCAAAGCAAACCCCACTTCTTTAACGCGAGCCACTAACCAACTAATAATATCTCGACACGTATACAGCGTGCGACACGTGCCTGTAGAGCAACGGACACCCGCCGGTTCCTAAACTTGATAAGGACACGTGTTGTTCAATCACTGGTTAAAACATCATCCCTTGTCCACGAATGACGTCATAATCGAGGTTGACGGTAACCGAGAGCTTTGCGTGGTAATTAAGGTCTTTTTGGGGGTGGGGATCAGAGAACAGTGACTTCATTATTTTATTCATTTAATATTTTAATCCCATCCTTTTTCTCTAAGTACGACATAATTGGTTTATTAGCCCTTAATTAATGGCTTCAAAGTGTGTATATATCCGGGGGCTGACAGCTATGAAATCCCAACTTCACGAAGAAATTCTCAGAACACAAAGCTTAGAGGGAAGTTTCTCTCACTACTTTCTCCCCCCCCCCCCTTTCTCTCTAAATCCCGCTTCTCTGGAGCCCTTTCTGTATCATCTCTGTCTTCTCAACAAGCGTTTTCGAAGGTTTCGATTTGGCTTTCAATCGATTAATTCGGAGTTTTTTTTGGGAGACGGGTGTTTCAGAATCGAGATCCAGATTTTTCACTGATTTTCAGCAGACTTTTACAGTTTTTTTTTGGGTTTTTTATTAGGGTTTTGTTGGTTTTGCTTTTGAGGTAATCAGCTAAGAGGGTTCGTTTTTTGTCCCTCTGGTTGTTTCTCTCTCTACCCTATTTCAGGGCATCTCTTTTCTTCGCATTTTTTTGTTTTCTCTCTCTTCTGTACATGCTTGCTGGTACTTGCCGGAGACTGTGTTTTAATTAGGGTTTTCGCACGGGTTGATCTGCTTTCCAGAACAAGTTTAGATAGAGAGTGTGTGACTTGGGCTTTTTTTTCCTTATGCCAAGTACTTCTCTCTGCTCCTTGTCGTGTAAAGTGAAATCTGGTGCTTTCTCTTTCTACCTACCTCTTCTTTTCTCTCTCTAGAACTCTCCCTTGAACCCCTGTGTTCTGGTTTTATAAGAAACAGGCAGGTTCCTTTTCTTCTTCTCTTTCTCTCCCTATAAACAGAGTCATGGCAACAGCTGTGGGGACTTATAGTAGTGTGCCCCTATTCTCAGATCCTTTAGAGGAGTTGATGAAAGTACTGGAACCTTTTATCAAAGGTGCTTCACCTCCTCAAGAGGACCCATCTCTCCTTCCTAACAACCCCTCATCTTCTTCTCTCTCTTCCTCTCCTCTCTCTACAAATCTACATTCTCTCTCTACAGATCTCCAATTCTCACGTAACCCATCATCTGTATATCCATCCTCTAGCCTCTCAACCCCCTCTTCCTCTTCTCCCATGGTTTCACAGGGTGTCTTCGTGCCTGAGCCCGCTTTCTTGTCAATGGCTCATGAGCACAGAACCGACATCCAGCCCACCTTGAATCCACTTCAAATCCAAGCCCAAGCCCACCTTCAATGGCAACAACAGCAACAGCAATCTATCCAGTTTCACCATTCTCATCCTCAAGCCCATCAAAGGCTCAACCCCTTGGCGTTTCTTGGACCCAGGGCTCAACCCATGAAGCGAATGGGTGCACCCAGGGCCATGAACCATGGATCCACTGGGTCCAAGCCCGCTAAGCTATATCGAGGAGTGAGGCAGAGGCATTGGGGGAAATGGGTTGCAGAGATCAGACTCCCTAAAAATCGAACCAGGCTATGGCTCGGCACCTTCGACACAGCCGAAGAAGCTGCTCTTGCCTATGATAAAGCTGCCTACAAATTAAGGGGAGACTATGCCAGGCTTAACTTCCCCCACCTCAGGCATCACCTAGGGTTTAATGGTGGGAATGAGCTAGGTTCTTTGCAATCTTCAGTTGATGCTAAGCTTCAGGCCATTTGTCAGGGCTTGGTGGGTTCGGGTCAAGTATCTGTACCGAGTGCGACTGGACTTGTGAAGACCGAGGAAGTGACCTCAGTGGTAGGTTCGGAGAGTGAGGATTCAGGCGAGGTGGCCGGAAATTCATCGCCCTCCCCGGATTTGTCACCGGATTCCGGCGTGAAGCAGCCAGATTTCTCAGGGCCACCTTGGGATGATTTGGACGCTTATCTTTTGATGAAGCTTCCTTCTTTGGATCAAGACTTGAATTGGGATCTCATCTTGTCTGATGTCTAATCCCTCTTTTCCCCTTCCTTGTTGATTAGTTCTTGTAATGTTTTTGGGGTTTTTCTTTGTTTAATTTTGTTAATTTGGGCAGCTGTTGCAATGGGTTTTTGCTTTGCAACGCTCGTTCAGAGGTTTAGGGTCAGGTTAACGTGAATTATGTTTGGGTTAATCATGGTTTTAGGGTTATTTTTTGAGGTTTGTCACCTTTAGTGATTAGGATTTAAGCCCGGTTTTTGCTGGTTTTGTTGCAAAAACGGGCAAAGCGGCAGTCCGCTTATTAGTTTGTTTGATGTAATTAATATAAAATAGTCAATTGTATTTGTGTTTGGGAATTATGTGCCTCTTTGTTTGTTATTATTCTTGTTTCCCATTTATGTTTAGTAAGCGATGTCAATGAATTTGTAGTGTCAGTATTTGTTGATCGTTGAATCCCATTGGAAATCTAGCTTAATCTCTCTGCGTATTTTATTTTATTTTTTATTTTATTTTATTTTAACGCCTTAGCTCACTCAAATCATGAGATAAATCGTATCGTGGAAAAGTGAAGCATGTGGAATCCTCATCTTTACGAGGGATGAGAGTGTGAATGCAACGAGAAACAAGTGGTGAGGTGGGCGGGCGTAGAGAGAGAGAGAGAGAGAGGTGGGGCTGAGCGATTGAGGGATCAAGATTTAAGAGTGTGAATGCAATCTATTCCCCCCCCCGTGGATAGAGCAGGAGAATATGTTAATGAAAGTATGCAAAGCGACTATTTAGTGATTTAAAAAACTCCGGGTCCGCACTAATATCTCTGCCCGATTTGTCGATATTCATAAAATCATGCCCGATTTGTCGATATACGAAAAAATCATTTTGGTCCAGAAGAGAACCCGTGATTCGCTATAGGTAAAACTGATTTTTGGCCGATGCATTGTTTTTGCTATTTTTAAATCATTGGGTAGAACAAAGAGACGATTCATTGGAGAGAGGTTTTCTCGACAGAAAAATGTCAAGAAGTAAAATACGTTATTTCGGGGGAGACCTTAAAGGAATCAGTAAAATATGTTAAACCTTAAAAGATCGATTTTTTAATTTTTAATTTTGTAGGTCACTGATTGATTTACTGCGCTTAATCCTCAATATCGATTGTTGTGGAGAACTCATTTTTATCTAAAATTAGTTTATTTGTGGATCTGATGAGGTTTTTTTTCTCACGTAATCTGGTGACCCCAAACTTCGAATGCACTAAACTTCCCATCCACGGTTGGTCCGATTTCTAAATCGCCGTTTTAATGTGCAAAAAAAAAAAAAAATCCAGCTGAAGAAAAAAAAAAAGAAAAAAAAGCAGTGGATCAACGAAAAAACTAACTCTAAGTAAAGGTAGAGGAGAGAGAAGATCTGCCGCGCATGCATATTCCTCGCCCCCAGTCCGAAGCAAAGTGGTGAGGAGAGGAGAGGTTAAAGGGAAAGAAGCGATTCTTTGGGTGGTGGTGGAGTGGCTTTACGCGTAGGCAGGCAGGCAGGAACCGCCTTTTTCCCCCTTCCAAACCTCATCCCTCCCCCTCACTTTTCCTTATCTTCACTCTTCACACCTAAAAAGGCTTCTGAAATGAAACATGGCACCCACTAAGAACTTGGGTTGAACATTGAAACCAGAATATAGTAAAAAAATCAATAAAATTTGAGGGAAAGAAGAAGTATTCAATCGGAAGAAGAACATTGTTTAAGAGTCTATAATTTTAGGGTTTGTTTGAAGGCCACGGTTTCTATGAGTCCATGGACTCTTAAAAATCTATTTTTAAGATGGATTTTTTTTAACTTAATTTTTAAGAGCATGTAATTTCTAACATGGAGATCATGAATATGAATAAATAAATAAGTTTTTAAAATTAAAAATAATATTTCTATTAAAAAAATATTTTGACTGTTGGTTTCAATTATTTTTAGATGAACCACCTATTTGCATCTATATTTAAGATTGATGCTTTGTACCTCGGGGACCGCAAATGTAGAAATGCGGTCCCCGCTGCCTGATACAATTTTCTTTTTTGATGTGCCTCTTACTTGCCCTTGGCCGAGTGACTCGAGTGAGTCCGAGTGGACTTGCCTAAGTCCTATATAGGGCAAAAAAAGCCTTAGAAAAATTAAAAAGGATCATAAAAATATGAAAAATATATATAATGAAGATAATAAAAGCAAAATCAAACTAAAAAAACATTAAAATTTCCAAATAAACTTAAAAAAAATTTAAAAATAAGAAAAGATGTAAATAAAGCTTATTTATAGATGGGGAGAAAATAAAAAATACACAAAAATAGGGATTATGCCAAAACAAACTCACCCGTCATTGTCATCATTATTAGAGCTATTTCCCAACTATGTAGGGTCAGCTATACAAATATTGGGTTATCTTTCTGTTCTATCAAGAGTCATCCCCTCAATGAGCCTATAAATCCACATATTTTTTGTATTACTTCCGACAATGTCCTTTTGGGCCTATCATTTGCCTTTTTTTTTTTAGCCTTCTACTTGAACCCATTCAAACATCCTAACATTCGGATCGTATCAAAAAAATTTATATACCAATCATATATATTTTTACAATTTTTGAATTTTTAAAATATTTTATGTGCACCAAGTTGTACACACAACTCGGGGCTACTTGGGCTTGCCCATAAGGTGAGTCCAAATGGGCTCGGCCAATTTAAAAGACCATCACTTATTTATTCCAATTAGTGTCTGTAAATCCAATGATTCCCGATCGGAATAGCTAATCCAGATGGGGAATCAACCTAGACCAAATCATTTTGGGATTGTATCGGTCTCAATCATGTTCCCCCTTAAAAGCC